CTACAGATCACTGGAGGATGAGCAAATGTGCCATACTTTGACAAGTGTTGTACCCAGCGAGTAGCTGCTGTTCAGAAACACCCAAGGAGGTTTTAAACCATCAGACCTGCTGAGGGTGCAGCCCCTGGTCCTTTCCCCTCTCGAAGGTGTGGGCAGAGGAGCAGCCTCCTGGACATCCCCACAGGTCCCAAAAGGAGCTTCTGAGCAGCTGCTTCTGGGGGCCTGGCAGAAACAGGAGCCAAACTCACCAGGGACGCAATGAAACCCCTTGCAAATGCCCACTGTTTCTGTGGATAAGGGAACCCAAGTGGTGATTTGCAGGTTGAAGGCATAGAACAGAATGGAGAATAGTAACAGTCCCAGAATTCTTCTGCCTCGGCCTTCCTGCTCAGTCATCTACACACTTGGTGTGCAGATTAGCAGCCACGGGTTCCCTCTACAGACCAGCTCCTCGTGGTCTGCGCTGCTTGCTAGCACTGAGATAACCTAAGCGGGGCAGGGTCTTCCCACCCATCATTTCTCTGCTGAAAAAAGCTGTCCTTGCCCTTTTCCTCTCCCTGGCCATGCCTTCCTGCCCCTTGCACCCATGTCCTCATACAGGGACAAACATGGATCACTTCCCACCCCTGTGGTGGCCCAGAGCGGGAAGCAAGCCATGTTACGGCCACTGCCCACACTGGTGTGCGTGTAGATGGCTGGGAGAGGGCAATGTGGGAAGGGGGACAAGCAGCAAACTGCAGGGACTGCTTTGGGCAGGAATGCCTGTTTATGTCCATTTGCAGCGGTGGTGGGTCTCCCCTGTGGGGCCAGTGTGGTACCTGAGACCACGGAGTCACTCTCGATGGCTGTGCCATACTGCCACCCATGACATGAGCCCCCAGGCCCCTGCAGCGCAGGCTTGCAAGGACACCGAGGAAGGCAGGGTGCCTGTGTGCATGCCAATGTGTGCCACAGGGCTAGCCAAAACAGCGTGCCAAGAGGTTGCTTCCACAGCAGAGCAGCACCCTTTGCTTCTGCCTCAGCTGCTCGCCTCCCTCTGCCACCCATCCACATGTAGGAGCCAGAAAGGCAGCTTGGTCCAACTGTAATTTAGCTCATTTTCTTCCATGTGCCTTTTCCAGGCAGGGTGTCTGTGCCATAAGGTCTTCCCCCTCCTTTCAGCCCTCAGCAGGAGGGTGAAGGTGAGGATATGACCACCACACAAAGCAGTGCATGTGCCAAGATGTACTGGGACATCTGTGAAGCAGCACAAGCACTAGACATGAGTGAGGGTCCCAAGCTTGTCAAGTAAATGACACCCAGGTTTTTGGCACTCGGAGTGACACATTTGGACTTTGCAGAGATGTGACAGACTGTGGCTTTTCTGTTCTTGTACTAGTCAAGGGAAAAACCATGTGCACCCTTTGCTACAGTCATGTGAAGACTCATTCTAAGCTAGTAAACCACAAAAATTAGACCATGAAGCAGAAAGTGCCTTGACTATTCTCCCCCATTTTAACAGAACAACTTGTGTGCAAAACCCCACTCATTTTGCAGACCCTTAGGGCATTTGGGCACAAGTGGTAGGAGATAGAAGGGCCCTGTGTTCTCTGTAACAAGTTATGGTTATCAAAATCCAGCCCAAAGGAAGGTTGGTTAGGTCCTTTGCAGCAGATGGGAAGACATGTAATTGGTGTCATGGTCAGAAGCACAGCTAGGGCTGGGGTATAATGAAGCCACTCCAGTGTGTCCATGGTGGGAACAGGTTCGGGGAGTGGTTCTTCTGCCTCAGGGTGTAGAGAAGGTTTGCAGACAAGGCAGCTGAGCATGTCTCCTTCACTGCTGGCCAAAACTGTCTTGTCCAAAATCCAGGGAGGGGAAAAAGAGTCTTGGTGGTTTGGATCAACCTTAGTGAAAAGAGGTTTCCTTATGTTAAAAAGCATTATTGCAGCCCAAGGACCCAGTCACCCCAAGCATGGCATTTGCATGTATGAATACATATCTCTGCTTTTGAGGGCCTTACTATTTGCTTTCTGGTATGAGGGATTTAAACATTTTCCTTTGCAAACTTTGCTAGGAATGTGGATCTGTTGGGAAAAAAAAGTGGAGCTGACATTCTCACTATATTCTCTTCACTGTAGGAGCAGCCTTCAGAAAAATGCCTCGCTGTTGTAAGAGTAGCAATAAAATCACAAGAGCTACCAATATGCATTCACCTGCTTTCAGCCTTCTTAGTTAGGTCTGCAAAGAGGCCAGAATTTGCATCTTACAAAATGTACATTAAAATTGTGCAGCTGTATTTGTATATCTATTAATCCCATAATAATAGGGGTTATATTTTAATTAAAAATGTCAGAAATTCAGTTCCTTCTCTGCTGTCTGCTAAGACCTGACATGGCTCTGAAACAATTAATGATGCTGCAGCCTTAGACAGAAAATCAGTTCAGCATTTTCCTTTTATTCACGTGGCTGAAAGCCAGCCAAAGTAGCATAGACAAAGGGCCCCTGAGCTCTTACATCAGGGCATTCGGGGTAGTGAGAATCTTGTCTTCGGATCGTTTTGTTCTAAAATGTGTTTGCCATTTTTAAGGTAAATGTCCTGTATGTCTTGTTAGGGGTTTGACATCTTGACAACCTGTAAACTGACTGTACTGCTTCTTCGGAAGCGCTCAGCGGCGTG